CATGAATATATTGAGTATTTGTTTTGAATAATCCGTGTGCAAAGTAATTTTCATGTTAAGATTAAAAATACTTTTCTTCATCTCAAAAATCTCAAATTTTCTTTGTGCAATCCCTAAAATCTAAATACATTTCAAACGTTTTTTTCAGTAAAATGTTTTATTTTATCTGTTATTTTCTCTACTCTATCTCTATATGGGATCAGTCAATTTTATCAACCTTGTACCCCCCACCCCACCCCCAAAAAAATCTAAATTACCTCTTCAATTTGTAACATGAAACTACATTCATTTATTCTAATTACTCAAAGTAGCTTTAAGCTTGTAACAGTATAGAACTATTTATAATTACATTTTATAATTAAATAATGCACTAAACAACATAGACTAATAACATGTAAAAAGTAGACAATTTCCCCTAACCCTCAAAATTTTCCTGGCTTTCTGACTATGCAACAAGACCTGTTACAAATTCATCCAAGCTAGTCGTTAATGTTCCCACAGGAATAACCCGTGTATTATAAGTGAAATTGACATCTATCTGTTCAGAACACAATGTAATATAATATGTCATTTGATATATGCAAACATTGAATTTCTATTGGTTATAAATTATATATAATTAAATGTAAGAGAAAACTATTAACAAATCCTGAAAGAAAGGATGTGATAGGTGGGTGTGGCAGGAGGGGTTTGATTTTATATTTGATACCTCTGTAACCAAACAAAATTGAAGGTTATATAAATTATGGTTTGTCTGAGCAATAACGATTTTATAGTGAGTAATTTACATTTCATTTCATCATTACTGGGGAGGGAATAAAACAGAGAACAGAAGATACCTAGAGAAAATGTGTCCCGTGTGTAACACTAGGGGAATTAAGAACTTAAAACTTGTATACTATTAAAATATGGATTATCAGCTAAAATTTTATGCTACACTAATTGGTATAACATAAACAAAAAGTAGTTTAATACAAATTTTGAATATAAGACACAAAAACAAGTAAAGGATACCTGTAAAGATAGAATTAATAAACCTGTCATCATCTTGTGTTACGGCTGTTTGGTCAATCTGTTTTGATCTACTTTGATAACTTTGCTGTCGTTTCTTACTTTAACTGACAGGGAGTTACTCTGCTTCTTGTTCTCAAGCTCTTTTGGGCTCTTGATAACTGCATATGGTTGTTGATTTTGTGTGTTCTGAGAGCTTTGAATTTAGTGGTGTATTTGGTTTAAGTAATGTGACACTAAGGTGCAATGTGGTTTAAGTAATGTGACACTAAGGTGCAATGTGGTTTAAGTAATGTGCTATGATTATCTATATCCTCCCTGTAATATCACATCCAGTGATGTCAACCCAAAAAAAACTGCAATGATGAAATCTATAGAAGTTGACATCAAAAACAAAAGAAGTCACCTCGCATACAGCAATAGATAAGCTGAAGGAGTTGTATAACCCAACCAGTCAAGGTAGAGGAGTAAGTCACCAAAAGAAAAGGAATACTATGGGTAAAAAAGTATGTAGAATGCCTTGAAAGGAAGCAGTGCAAGTAAGCTGCTTGAAAACAACACAGTGATCAGGGTCTGAATGATCATATAGAGAAGAAAAGGAAGGTGATTGGAGAAAATATAAAATTATCCAATCAAGCAGCCTAAGTGTTGGGGAATAAGGAATGGTCTGGAAAAAAATCATCCTGTCTCTGTGGGGAAGAATGCAATAAGGAACAAGGTAAAAATATCTGAGCAATACCTTCCACAAGTGAGAAGAAAAAGAGATATGCTATAAGAAAAAGAATGGCAATGTAAATGTGACCTGAGGTTCAAATGGAGAATATGTAAGAGCCTTGAGAACTGAATAGAGGTTCAGATCAAAAGAGGAGGACAACTGATTCAAAAGGCACAAAATAGGTCTGTAAGAACTGGAGAAAAGGACCAGAGAAACAATGGAAGGTTGATGACAAAGCTGCTCTGTAATTGGTGGTTGATGAAATGAAAATACTGCTCTCAAAACCCAGGAAAAAAAAAGAAAGTGAGATGAGAAAGAGTCAGACAACTTAGAGGAAGGGAATGACGAATAGACCAGCATCAATAAATCATCCAACTACAAGGATAGATGGCCAACAAAAGCGACCAAGAAGATGGGCTATTATACCTGAAAAAACTTGAATGATTTACAAGAAACCAGACAAAAGCTACACATGAAGATGAAAGATGGGCATCTGAAACTGATTAAGAAAGGGACCTCCAAGACAGACGAGATAGAGGTCCCAAAAACAGGATGAGCAGAAATTAGCTGCCAAAGAGTGGCAATGTAAAGAACCTGGCAAGGAGGTTTTGTGAATTAAAGACTGCATCCTGGGAAGAAGTTGCAGAAGAGTATAGTCATATAGAAAAAAGGTAGACCAACCCAGACTCAGAAAGAATATCATCAGAGCCATGGAATCTGGAATTAGTAAACAAAAAGGAGGAAGTTTGGTGTAGAGGGGAGTCACAAATGCATCAATAAAAGAATTCCTAAAGTTAGAATAAATCCACATAAACACCACTCTGTCTGAAATATTTGGTCTGGGTATGACAGCCAAGTAATGTGACACAATGGTGCAGTGTGGTTTAAGTAATGTGACACAATGGTGCAGTGATAGTAAAATATAATCCATCTCAACAGTGGGCATTGAGTAAAAGCTTTAACACCGTCTGTTATCCTTTACTTGTTGCATATTTTGGGAGAGAAAATTATACCCTGTGAGGCAACAATGACTACATGGTGCATCCCATTGTTTTCAATGTGTGTATATATATATATTAATATTTATTTCTTGTAGTTTCAGGTGATCGTATTTTCTGAAAGATAAAGACATAATCAATAACTTGCCTCTTTAGAGCCACTGGAATGATTAGAGAATAGCAACTGCAGGGAGACAGAACTGCAGTGTGGTTCAAGTAATGTGACACAATGGTGCAGTGTGGTTTAAGTAATGTGACACAATGGTGCAGTGTGGTTCAAGTAATGTGACACTAAGGTGCAGTGTGGTTTAAGTAATGTGACACAATGGTGCAGTGTGGTTAAAGTAATGTGACACTAAGGTGCAATGTGGTTTTGAGTTGTGTTTGCAACACAGTAATAAGAAATACAAGGAGTATCATGTAAGAAAAAAATTAGTAAGTGGAATTTCTGTTGAAATATTACTTCTTTGTGAAGTTAGGAATATCAGTAGTTACACATATAACATATAGTCGAAGGAAAAAAATTGCCCTTGTTATCAATATTTGGACTGGAATTTACATTCTTCTCACCCAGCTATACAAATTATTATAACAGTGTGATGGGTTTGAATGTTTAACAATGAATTCAAAATTAAGGAACACAAACTTTCACCTGTTGGATACTACCCATGTATATATGTTTTCAGTTAAAATGTGACAAACACATCTCCAACTTTGTAAAATAATCATATCTACTTATACAATTTATGAAGTGAGTGTACTACCTTTTATACCCAAGTTTCTTTACTTCTCGCTCAACATCATTTGCAATAACTTTACAAAGCAAACTGGTTGTCAGAGGATTGTAGCAAGCCCCTTCTAAGTGCTGTGACAAAATCTGTTGTAAAATGGAAGCAATCTTATTGGTCTGAAGTTTGGAATCAGGCTCAAGCTGATACGAGTTTTCGTACTTTACCTAAAAAAATAAACAAGTAAACTAACACTTTGTCTTTAATAAAATGAGCTTTTAAAAAATTGGAGCAACATACATGAAAACATTTATATATGTTTCAAAATTAAATTATCATTTTCTGCATAAGCTGGATTTAAATTTTATAGAAAAACAAAAAGCTCACATTTGTTTCAACAAATTTCGAAAAGAAAACTATTTGGATGAGAAAAACATCTTTAACTGAAGTAGCAGTATGGCCTAATAGTAAAATATAATGAATTTACAAAAGTAAACTAAATAACTGTCTCACCATAACTTACACAAATTGCAGATTTATTTACTGAGTAACACATTAATTAGTTATTCATCTATGCTAATACATCTGTTTTATACTGCTCAAACGGGTTTAAAACTGTAGGAAATGTTCCACGCATTAGGCCATGAACTCATTTTATGACACAAATTTTCCTTTTAGCCAAGCAATAATATCAAATTCTAGAAATGTCTAGATTAAAAACATGGTGTACAACAATACTTATGTATCATTCTAATTGTAGTTACTGAAATTATAGCACCAGTCTTAAGTTTAACTCAGTCAGTTAGAAAAAGACTAAGATTACAATAAAAACCTGCAATAATGGTGACCACACTGTTGGCAAAACATCAACATTGTCTGTCTTGCTTTGCAGTTACATTAAAAGCATTTATTCACTGCATAGATAGAGCCATCTTGTTTGTTTCCCTTTTTTCTGGCCATATGAGGAAAATAAGTTTTTAAATATTTTTTACTTTTGATGTATGGAATTATGAAAGTTATAACAACAAGCTCGTATTTATTAAGGAATATATTATTAGAAATGAAGGATCAGTATAACTGTGGGCTGATAAAACAAAGACTGAGAGGAAGATATTATCAGTATAAGTGTGGACTGATAAAATTAAGATTGAGAAGAAGATATTATTAGAAGTGAAGGATCATTATAACTGTGAACTGACAAAACAAAGACTGAGAGGAAGATATTATCAGTATAAGTGTGGACTGATAAAACAAAGACTGAGAGGAAGATATTATCAGTATAAGTGTGGACTGATAAAATTAAGATTGAGAAGAAGATATTATTAGAA